AATAAATAAAATATCACGTGCTATTCATAACATCATTTAGTGTCTATTATATGTTAGCAATTTTGTTTTTTTATTTCATAAGGAAAAAAAAGGCCGAAAAGTAGTCAGACCCTTGCATAACTCCTTGTAAAACATTTAATGTGTATGTGTGTGTGTGTGTGTGTGTGTGTGGCACGAAACTGTCAGAAAATAATAGAAAAAAGCGAGTAAGTGACAATTTAGTCCTATATCTTGAATCCGTGTGTTTCGAATAACGTAATGTTGGCACGACGAATTGATCGTCTGGTGCAAGCGGCTCGAAGTCGAGCAGTAGATACGGGTGGCTTCGATCAGACGGCGATCCGACAAAGCACACAGGCCACGCCTATCGTGCAACATATGTACCGCGGCGCGGCAACATGTCGGCCGCGAACAAATGCACCGACCATACATGCGGATTCCACCCTCCGCTCGAAATATTTCAACAACTCCGGGAATTCCATTGTTAAAAATTTTGCTACGCTTTGCAGGAAATGAGCGAAATTGTCGATCAAATCGAGATGCGCGATCGTCATTAAATCGTCGATATTTATTATTAAACGCATGCAATGAATCCTTAAAAACGCAGATTGGAATTATTTGGAATTTTTCATGTAATATAAAAAGTTTTTTTCAGCGGTTTTTTTTAACGCTTTGCGGGGGGAGGGAATTCTCCTCGTGCATTTGTTTTAAAAAATTCCATTAGAATTCTTTTCAATATTTGTTGCGTAATTTGAACGTACGTTGTTATTTCTGCGATTTCTTGTATATTTTCATATTTCATACGCGTCATATGTATATAAGGGAGAAAAGGGATATACATATATATGTGTACATAATAAACGGCTCACAAACTGCTCTTTCATCATTTTTTATCGTCACCAATAACACATGAAATATTTCAAAACGCGTGCCGTAAACTTATATCGAGATATACCGCAATCGATGAACGCTTTATATATCAAGATATTAAATATTTCCATGGGGTACTTTGACTCTACGAAAGATTGGCGAATTCAACAATGTCTATTTTACGACGCCGCGAATATCACGCAATCGCTTTCGATCATTCACGCTTGATTTAAATGTAATTATTACCTTGAAAAGGGGAACAGCCCTGTTTCGAAATTCCTGTAGATTTTTACTTTGGATGTCTTTAGATTGTAGTACAACCTGCGAACAATGCAACAAGGTATGTACAATGCGTTTTTCAACGGCGTCATTTTATTTGATTCATTCGATCGTATTTTCAAGCACTCCGCGCATTTATTATCAATGATTCGTGAAATTACTTCGCAGCTAAAAACTCGTATCATCGCCAATCTCGCCAATCTCAATTCTTAAATTATTTAAAATCTGCCGTGGAAAACGATGCGATAATCGATACTCGTTTAACGATTAAGACGATATAAAAGATGCTAATTCTCCATATTTTTTTTTTTTATTCTTAGTAAATAATAGATAATCGATAAAAGAGGAACGAAATAGATTGTTAAAATTAAAATCGGGATTAATGATTTTAAAAATAAATAGAATTAATGATACCCGAAATTTTGTATTTCAGGACTGACGAGGAATTTCAGAAATCTAGAGTCGGTCGTGTTGAAAATATATCTGAATTTTTGACGGAATTCTCCGAAGAGAGATAACGTGAAAAGATACTTACTGTGATCACTGTGCGGACTTTCCGTCCTTCGCTCCTCTTTCGGTTCTTTGTCGGATCCCGGCTCAGTTTTGGCCTTTCTCTGAAGCTTCTTCATCTTTGCTCGCTGATTCTGAAACCACACTTGGACCACGCGCACGCTGAGGCCGGTATCCTTGGCGAGGGCCTCCCGCACCTTCCTGCAGGGTTTCGGGGACACCTCGAAAGACGCTTTGAATTGACGTCGTTGTGCCGATGTGAGTATCGTCCGCGGCCGTTTTGGACCTCGACGACCGTCCCGTGGTCGATTCTCATCCAATAAGTCGTCATCTGACAATATATATGATGCATTTTTTATTCTTATAAATCATTCATGTATAAAAAATCTCTATATATTCTCTTTTATTGCTTTTATAAAAATCGTAATAAAATTTTTCAAATAAATGTAGAAGGAATTTGAAATTATATAGTTACAAGAGATGTAACTTTTCACTTTTTAATATCAATATTCTAATAAAAATTATATGTTTTAAAAAATTCCATTAGAATTCTTTTCAATATTTGTTGCGTAATTTGAACGTACGTTGTTATTTCTGCGATTTCTTGTATATTTTCATATTTCATACGCGTCATATGTATATAAGGGAGAAAAGGGATATACATATATATGTGTACATAATAAACGGCTCACAAACTGCTCTTTCATCATTTTTTATCGTCACCAATAACACATGAAATATTTCAAAACGCGTGCCGTAAACTTATATCGAGATATACCGCAATCGATGAACGCTTTATATATCAAGATATTAAATATTTCCATGGGGTACTTTGACTCTACGAAAGATTGGCGAATTCAACAATGTCTATTTTACGACGCCGCGAATATCACGCAATCGCTTTCGATCATTCACGCTTGATTTAAATGTAATTATTACCTTGAAAAGGGGAACAGCCCTGTTTCGAAATTCCTGTAGATTTTTACTTTGGATGTCTTTAGATTGTAGTACAACCTGCGAACAATGCAACAAGGTATGTACAATGCGTTTTTCAACGGCGTCATTTTATTTGATTCATTCGATCGTATTTTCAAGCACTCCGCGCATTTATTATCAATGATTCGTGAAATTACTTCGCAGCTAAAAACTCGTATCATCGCCAATCTCGCCAATCTCAATTCTTAAATTATTTAAAATCTGCTGTGGAAAACGATGCGATAATCGATACTCGTTTAACGATTAAGACGATATAAAAGATAGTTGAGCAGTTTGTTATACGGAAAAAAAACATATGAAACAAATGGTAGATCCTTTCGCTTTATTTTCTCCACAAGTAAATTATATCGTGGTACTTATTTACTTAACTAACGATAAGTTTTTCGCAGGGTCTCATTCAATTTCCAGAAATGATAATGCTTCTACTATTGGCGACACAGTATGATAGAAACAGAAATTGTAGCTCACATAGAAATGAATACACATCGTAAAGTCATCTCATGCAAGATAATACACACATTTTTATTCATGCTACTTCTCGTATATTTTATACGGCATCTTTTTCTTGTGCAAGGAAAACAATTATTATGTTCGTGCATATGTAACACACACATTAAGCCCTTTCAATTTCTTTCAATTATAAAACAAGTAACAGACACTATCTTTTTATCGTATTATTCGATATAAGTGTATAATATCAAAAAACAAACTGATGCAAAAAATGATTAGAATTCACTTGATTTAATCATTATTAAACTTTATTCGTCATCATTTTGAAAAAATTCTATCATGATTCCTAATCTTATTTCTTGTTCTTGGAAATTCACAGAGAAAATATCTATAGAAAAAAAAGTCTTTGTACAGAATCAGAGCACGACGATAGTGAGATCGAGGGAGAGTGTCGCTTTATTTCGCGTCAACAAAAAAAAACACACAGGGCAGGAGGATCGAGGAACAAGATTTGACAAACGAGCCTTATGCGCACACACGCATACACGCACACGCATACAATATGTACAATATGGGACACTCACCTTGCGGGCTATTTAAAAACAATTCGTGCTCAAAGTCCCGTCTGCAGATCGGCTGGCCCTGTCTGAGGATATAGTGGGCGCCCCTCGGCAACGGCTGGCCGCACATGCAACACGCGAAGCACTCCACGTGGAACACCAGGCCGGACACCGGCCGCATCACCAGATCCGAGCAGCTGATCTTCTCCATGCAACGCGCGCACTTCACCCCGAAGATCCTCTCGTAATCGGAACGGCAGTAGAGCTTGAGGTCGCGTATGAAGCACGAGTGCGACAGCATCGCGCCACATGCCGTGCACGAGAGGCACTCCTCGTGGTAATTCCTCTCGGCCACCCTCATCACGTACTTGTCGGCGATTGTGCGGCCGCAGCCGGCGCAAATCGTCTCCAGAAGACCGGATTCCGTCTTCACGGAAACGGACGGCTCTGCGGGACAAACGTGCGAATATTATGCAATACGATAACGATGTTAATTGCATACATCGGTCATTATCGGAGTTGAAATTTTGCTCCTATTTTCAACTTCAATTTTCTCATGATTCGACAGAGGATTTTGAAAAGATTTTTAATTTATATAGGAATTTTTTAGCTTTTATTTTATACCTAAAATAAACAATAAATTAACAATTTAAAAGCTTTCTGGCAAAACTTGAATAGTTTCAGAAAAGAGTGATTTGACTGTTTAAAGTATTAAAGTAGATGTTAGATTAGAAAATAGACATCGAAAATAGGAAAAAAATTTTGACTCGGGGATTGAAACGTTTTGCATTGTTTGTATCGTGATTTGTGACTTGAAAGCAAATGGAGAGAAATGCTTAGATGTGGATATTATATCCCTCTATTTTTACAAGGCAGTTAATACGAAATACAGCATTACCTCGTTTTCCACAAGCAATTTTGAATGAACAATGAATTTTTCGCTTTGTTTCACGATTAATTTTTAAATGATCGATCAAATACGATAAAAAGCTAATTTATATAATATAATAATCGAGTACCGTCTGGAAAATATTAAAGCATGAATAAAAAGATGTTTTGCATTCAAATACATACGACACAATCGTCTCTCTATTTTTAAGCTGCAGAATAATGTAAGATGTCTCAATTCCAAGATATATAGCTAAAATATTATTATTAATTATTTTTATTCTAAATTGAAGCTCTTACTGAAATCTTTTTATTACACAGAGGAGACTGTTCTTGATCAAATGTCTTACATCCCAATTGTCAAAAAATATGACCAGCTTTTATGTTTTATTTTATTTTATTCATAGAAGAAAAGAAAAGAAAAGTATAAAAACATAAATTATATATATATATATATATATATATATTAGTTTCTCTTTACCTGCGTTATTATTATCAGATGTAGGCCGGAAGGGAATAGGTGGAACCGTCGGCAAGGACTGGCCGGGTTCACCTTGACGATTGAAAGAACCAGGCGCCGGAGGATAGAATTCCAACATGGTGTCTATTTGTTACAACCTTGAACACGGAAAAAATCTTCGAGCTGCTAGAAACTCGCTTTAAAAATCCTCGTTAAAAGAGTTTTTTCTTGGACGACACTAAACACTTGGGAGTCACACATCAATAAGACTTTTTGAGATGACAATGTCGATAAGTGAAATTTGCTCAAAATGCCTTCGTCATTTTCTTTCTTTTATTGTAGGCATTTAGTTTTGTTCTAGGCAAACAATTTCTTTTCAAATTTCAACGGAATCTCAGATTCTTTAACTATAGCTTCACTATTCGTTTTATTTCGCCGATCATCCAAGCTGTCCTATCAGTAGATTCAATTTTTCTCGTTAAATTCACACACTATCAAGAGCGATGGCGCATCTCGCGTTAGGTATACGTATATAGTAATACAACTTCAGACACTTTTCAATAAATTAGTCCAGGTCGAAAGCTATAAATTAGTCCACGTCACTTGCGCGCGGGTACCAATCGATCTCGTTTAATTGGACTTTGAACGTTTGTCACTTCAGCCTAGGAACGACGGGGCTTCGAGGTACGGTATGTTTAGCTGTCACCGGTTCTTCGATACGGACAGCGCCGTATGTTATCCGAGTCTCATGACAAGACACCGAGGATGCCGTGCACGGGTGTAAGACGGCAATTTTCTCGAACGATCTCCTCAGGGCCCGAGATGTCACGGCTGCACCGCATTCCGGATATAGTGAAAACGATGAAGACTGATCCTCGACGATTTCCGAGAGCCTTTTTCCTCCCTCCACGGCCTTTCTCTCATCCACCCGTCTGATATCCGCACCGGACACGCTCTGTACGCGATAGTTTCGTACGTGTCATCCGCGTGAGCTCCGTCGCTTTTTTGATCGGGATCCACCGACTCGCCGACAGCGAGAGAATCCCATCCCTCTCCCCCGACTCCTTTCTTCATCACCCCGGTATAACGCGGCTTCTCCTACCCCGCCCGTGTCTCGTCCCCGTCATTGGAGATAGATGAGGCATCGATGCGAGAGTGAAGAGGGCGGGTTCATCCCCCGCTCTTAGCCGCTCGCAAAACTCACGGTGGAGGCTACCGGATTGGCGTCGCTGGGAACCGCCCTTGCCCGAGGGTTGCTAGTGGGGCGAAACGACCACCGAGGGTGCTCAACCAGCGGCGATGTACGAACGGGGATCAATATCCGACCTCAACCATTGCCGGAAGATTCAGTGACGTATCTCGGCAAACCAGGCGGACATCGATCTTAGACGCCATCGGGATCCTTGTCCTTTTTTTCTTCTTCTTTTTTTTTTTTAAGTGATCGCGTGCAAAGTAGATTAAATGCAGTCGGAATTTGGGACGAGTTTGTAGAACGTGATGGAAAAAATACATTAAAAATACAGAACCGAATTAATTTTGTATAGCATGCGAGATAGAGTTGCTAATTTTTGATACTGTAAAAGTTATCGTCTACAAGTTTACAAGAAAAACATAATACCTAATATTATTTAATAATGCATATAAATTATTTTTATTAAAAAATGTTAATTTTTTTTTTACACGACAATAAAACTTCTCTCACTTTAAAAGATTAATAAAAATCCATCTTATATAATTATTTTTAAACGTATAAAAAACAAGATAGGACCGAGGTAATTTTAAGACTTGATTTTTAGATAATTTGTATAATATGTTTTCAATAATAAAAGATCGATATAGCTCTATTGTTTTAATAATTTTATATTTATAATACAAATATTACTCTTAATTTTCTATATATTTTATAATAATTATTAACATGTGATATAAAAGTCTATCGAAAAAACTCTATAGAAATAAAACGTGAAGAGAAAATATCCAAATGTAAAGATATTGAGGTGCTGTATTGACATAAAGCTACTCGTAGACGTGAGTAGCACTCATCGCGACGATGATCTCCGCCGTTTCCCATTTTTGACGTGGAGGGAAGAGGGAAGAGGGGGCACTTGTCTGTCCCCCCCTTGGATGGATATGGCTAATAACCGATGCTGCTTTCGTATCAAGCTGCCTCCGGACATATTTTTCCGCCGAAAAGTCGGAGCGCACGGCGAGTATTTGGCCGTTTGTCAGTCCGCGTAAATATGCGACAATGCCGTCCTTTGTACGGGCCGTCTATCGGCGATGTTTGCCAAATAAAAGCCTATATAGATCTCTTTGTCTCTGTGTTCCTGCGCTGTGCGCGCGCGGTACGAATCCTCCCCCAAATGATACGCCTAGTTGGGAACGAAACTACGGCATGCCCCTCCGATGCGCGATACAAAGGGGCATCAAGTTGGCGGTAATGGTGATGCAAAGTATTCGGGGGAAACACGTGCAGGCCGAGGGGGGCGTCCCCCCTCGAGACGCCCAGTTAGTATTCAGACTGGCTTAATCGTACGCGACAGCGACCATACGTCACGATCGATAGATCTTTCACGTTCCAAAAATCCTGACAGAGAAGGTCGTAAAGTGTCATTAAAAATCAGTCTCTATCTAACTATAGTAAAATCGTAAGTAATATCTAAAATTCTTCACTCTTTCTCTTCGCACGAAGATAGTAAAGGAATTGCGAGAAACTTTCTGTGTTATTCTGTTAATTAGTTAATTTTAAAAATCCTCTATTTGTCAAAGAAATTGTATGAAAACTTAAAAAATTAATTAAAAATTTAAATAATTTAAATAATTTTAAATTCTAATAATTTTTAACAAAATTATTTAGATATGTTATTTAGAGGTTTCAATGTATAAAACTGGCTGTTTTGAGCAAAACGTATTAGTTGATTTTTTTTTTTTAATTATGTATGTTACTTAGAGGACTTCAGAAAAATGAAGCCCTTGGAACAAGTTCTAGGCTTATTTTTGAAATGAGCTTCAAAAAATACACAAGAATAAGCCAAAATAATTCATTTAAAAAATCATTATTGAAGTATAATTTTCTTTCATTATTAATTTAATGCAATTTTCAGTACATTAAACTTTCAAGAGTTTAATTTATACATAATAGCTTATATAGAGCGCTATCAACACTTTGACGACAATAGGATCAAGGAAGCGTTAGAATCGCGCTATTCCAGATGCAACCCGAATCTCGATCGCGAATCCGGTCATCGATCCCGGCGTTATCCTCGGGACAATAGAAAATTAGGGATGCTCAGTGACCCTTACCATTTCACGGCACGTAAAAGCACAAAAGTCGCTGGAGCGTCGGATAAAATATGGTTCCTTGCAGGTGCATGTAACCGGGTTACCCCCGCGTGCGCTTCTCTCCCCCTCCGCCCCCTCACCCTGTCCTTTGCGGGAGCATATTGTTTGGGATGTGACACTAACGCCATCCGTGTAATTATGCCGATACGGTTCGGGCATTATATTCCGTAGGACGGCGGAAGGGTGGGAGGGTGTGGAGGATGGAATCCCCGCTCGCTCGGACTACCTAAACACCCTTTGGTCACGCATAGGGTGGGTGCCCCCGCATCGTAATACGCGATACCGAGGTCCCGACAACACTTTGTCTCGCGCACGTCGCGAAAGTGCAGCGTATATTGACATCGGAATTCTTTTCACGGGATACATGGTGAATTCGATTGTCAACCCTCAACGAAACGTAAGTAACACGGTGAATGTTTGGCGTTCAAGAATTAATATAAATTTTTTTTAAACGTAGCGTCGTATTAGTAATTCAAAAATCGGCGCGGTAATTACACTATACAAGTACACGTGTGTGTATATGTGTATGGTGTGTGGCATAAAACAGTTTTAAAAATATATTTTATATACATATTTTTACATTGTGTTTTATTTACATTTATAATTACAAGTATAATATCTATTATGTTATCCTTACATTAATAAATTTGAGTATTTTATATTCAGCCAGTTTCTTTCTCAATATACATTTACTGTATTTCTTATAATTATATTCCAGAGTGTATTTTAATGTACTAAAAAAGAGAAACATGAAAAAAAAAATAAATTTTAATAAACAAGACGGTTATGCAAGACATATCTTTTCTTTTAGATAAAACGTTGAACTTATGTTAGATAAAAATTGAATAAAAAATGACACTAAGTGTAATAAGTAACTCTGTAGTGTGTTCTCTCTTTTTTATTGTATTTTAATACAAAAATAAATTTTTAATCATATCTTATATATACTTAAGACATAATATTAATATTTAGAATAAGAAAAAATATTAACAATAAGCTTATATATAAACCAGATATATCATATCAAAGTAAAAAACAAAAGATAATGACTGGAATAAATGGAGCAAACACCTAAATGTAAAATGGGAGGACATCTAAGATTTAGATCAAATTCATATCTGTATTTGGAAAAACAAGCTTAGATTAGAAATGTCTGCTGTGATATATGTATTATAACACGAGTACATTAAACTTTACATTTATTAATATCTCAAGTATCCTTTCTCTCTTTCTTATACACATAGAGCGATTGTACAACGAGAATCATCCTGCAATTCCTACGCATTTTCTCAAAGAATTCGAATTGGTATACGATACGATTCGTAATATAAACCCCCCCGGAGTCGCGACAAAAAGAGTCGCCGCGACTTCTCCGAGACTCGGAGGAATCCAAACTCGACACCCCCGCGATGACAGCCCACGGAATGAATTCTAATAACGTGTCCTCTCTATAGCCTAGCGCGCATGGATCCATCTTTTGCTAACGAGGGTGGAAGTTCACGGTTGCGTCCCAGGAATGCGTGATGACTACTTTGTTAGGAATGCAGCGCGGCGCGGTGCCCATACGAAGAGCGAAACGAGAGCGGCGTATGCAGTGGCGGAGGATACTCAAAGGCATCGAGTGCAAGCTGAGCTTTCGAGATCTCCCGTCCAAGGAGCGCTAACATAAATTCTAGATCGAGGAAGACAGAGAGAGATTCAAGAAATTAGATATTATTTTCAATGATAGATAACAGGTAATCAGACAATTGGTTTAAAATATAATCATATATCTCTCAATTATAGAGACAGAGAAAGAGAGAGAGAGAGAGAGAGAGAGAAGTATAAAATATTGAAATATAATTAAATTAATCCACATAGCATAAAATTAATTAATAAATCGAACGCTAGCTATAAATAAAACATAAAAATTGTAACTAATAATTTAACACAAATAATAATTATTTATTATACGAATTTTTTTTAGAATAAAAAAATATCGACCACTGTTTCTGAATCCGGGATGGCGGATCGTTTCGCGTATACCTCGGCGATAATCCGCCACTGGCTATACGGGAAACGTAGCTGAAACGCGGCTTCAGGACGCGAAGCAGAGCTGAAAGCAGCTGCGCGCCTCCCTGGAATGCGTCCCTGTTACCCGGCACCGGGATGCCGCAGGGAGAAAGAGAGAGACCAAGGAGAGCTTATACGTTCCTTCCGATCCCGCTACTCTTTGGCATTCGGGCTTTGGCATCGCACGGTTCAATAAAGGAACGCCCCCGCTCTCGCTCGCGCCCCGGTCGAATTCACTCGTAGTACCACGAATGAGTACCGGAGGTTCTATATCTGTGTGAACAATAAAGTAAAATAAAGAAATGTAATGCGTCGCGTTACGCGGAATATCGTCTCGTGAAATATCTTAAACTCTTGAAAATAGTATTATTGTATAAATCCTATCCCGCGAGATACTTTCTCTACTCGCGCCAACAAGTTAATATACACACGGATAACGATCTTTATGTTGATTCAGTACCCGGTTATTACCATGGATTTCAGATGATAGATAATTTCTAGTACTTGACAAATTATCGACTTGCAATAATGCATTTTTCGAAATAATTTATGCCTTGATTTTGATTTTAAAAAGAATAGG